GTCCCGCCCCCCGGAATTGAAATAAACCGCCCTTTTAACACCCGTTGTCTGTCGTAACACACTGGGGAGCGGCGGGAAGCTCCGGCTTGCTGTGCGGATCAGCCTCCTTCAGCCCGGTGTGCTCCTGGACTACTCCTGGCACTGGCCATGGCGGCTGGGGCGGCGGGGTGGCGGCCGGCATGTGGGAGGCTGCTGTCCGGTTCTCCGTTGGCCGGTTGCTCGTGCCACTCATTTGCAAGAGGACGATGGGGTCCGTTGGGCACTGCGTGTCTTTCCCTGCCCCCGCCCTGGTTCCTTCCTTCCTTCCGCCCAGCCTGCCTGTTTGTCATAATGGGAACCCTGATGTTGATTTTCCTATGACATGGACAGGAGGCTGTGTTTGGAAGACGAGTAACGGGTCTTTGCGCTCTCAGGAGCAATGCTGAATGTCTGTGCCAGGAGAGCTGACATCCAGCCTGCCGTGGGCATCTCCACTCCTTTCTATCTCGGGCCGGGTGGGGGGGGAGAAGGGCAAGTTCTGAAGGCTGTGAGCAAAGCTTGGGAGCTGAGCCAAGAGGAGCAGATGACCGCCAGCAAGAGCTTGCATCATTGGCATGCTGAGTCTTCTGAGCAATAGATAGTATCAGGACCTCCTGGCTGGGGGAGAGCATGGTGGCTTATCTGGATGGTGGCTCTGCGTACACAATCTTCAGAACCTGCACCTGCCTGACAGTGGGAAAGATGGACTTTTGCCTGCAAAGAAATCTGTGCTAGAACTGGACCCAGTGACCCAGATGTGCAACATAGGCCGAGTGTATTTCTTCAAACACTTGTATACCATCCATCACCCATAATGGCTCCCTGGGTGGTTTATAGCATTAAAATATATCCACAATCACAAAAACAGTACATCAAATGCTGGGAGAGAAACTGAACAGAAGGAGTTCATTAAAAATACATTAAAATCACAAAAATATTACATCAGATAAAAATGACATTCTATCCACAGTATGCCCACCACAAACCCAGCAGACCCACAGCAATGACAACTAGGTTCTGGGGCATAGCAGCAATGCCAAATAAAATACTTATTTTTTATATTGCAATTTATATCCTGCCTTTTTCCTACAAAGGACTCAAGGCAGCTTACATCATTCTCCTCCTCCATCTTATCCCCACAACAACAACCCTGTGAGGTAGGTTGGGCTGAGAGTCTGTGACTGACCCAAAGTCCCCCAGTTGGCTCCATGGCTGAGCGGGGACTAGAACCCAGGTCGTCTGAGTCCCAGTCCCATGCTCTTAACCACTACACCACACTGGCTCTCAATATAACATCATGAGATGAAATAAATATAAAAATTTGGGTAGATACTTTTAAACTGTTAAAATATTGAGTAAATAAAAAGGTTTTTACCTGGTCCCGAAAGGAATTTAGAGTAGGTGCTGGGCACAGCACTTTGAGGACCTGATTCCGTACTGGGTGCCACAACCAAAAAGGCCCTTTAGAGGGGGCTCTCTTGGAGCTCAGATAATGCTCTTGGGGCCTGGGTAGGAACATAGGGAAGAGGCGTTCCTTTAGATAACCTGACCCCAAAATGTCTAGGGCTTTAAATGTAATGTTAATGCTAGCTCTTGGAATCCGGCTCTGACTTCAATTGGTAACCAATGAAATTAAAGGAAGACTAGTTGAATATGCTCTTGTTGGCCAGTTCCCATTAGTCGCCTAGCGGCCCGATGGTTTGGGGCAGCTGAAGTCTCCAGACTTTTCAAGGGCAGCTCCACACAGCGTATGTTACAAAGGCCCAGATGCGAGGTCGCCAGAGCATGGGTCACTGTCGCTGGGCTTTCTCTCCAGATAGGGCCGTAGTCGCTACATCAGTCTAAGCTGATAAATGGTGCTTTGTGCCACTGATTCTGTTCTGTGGCAAGAGTTGCCGACCCCTGCTGGTTTGTGTCTGTAATTCTTAAATATCACCCAGAGATTATATCAGTCAAGCTTCTGGCAGGCAGGGGGGAAAAATGTTAAGGAAAAAAATTCTGCATGACAGACTGCTGTTAGAGGCGCAGGAGCAGCTCAAAATAGCAACCCTGCTCTAGAAATCCCACCTTTTCCTGGCCTGGTTCATTGGATAGATATACACCAGGGAAGTCTCCTCTGATACGGCTGCTCTAAGCCATTCATCCTCCTTCCTAATGTGGGTGGCACTTGGAAGAGCTTAATGAGGGCTGACCTACCCACTAATTAAGAGATCTGTTCCAAGCCAGGCACTTTTCAGACTACTGCCTTGGGGCAGCAATTCGGGAGAGGAGATGCATGGGCAGCCTGCCCCTCCCGCCCGCCGCCCAGATGGCTGCATGCTCCTGCCTCTCGTGGCGCCAGCTGGATGCCCTACACAAACCAGGAGTGTTTCTTTCTCAGCTGCACGTCCATCGGATATACTGGACTAGAATCAGCCCCACTGATGGCTTTTCTGGGGACCTGTTGCTGTGAGTTTGGAGACATCTTACCAGCAAGAAGGCAGCTCCATTTCTTGCCTGCCTGCCTGCCTGCCTGCCTGCCTCCAAAGGGGAAGGCACAGGCGCCTGCCCCAGTTCAGCCCAACTGGCAATGCAGGCACGGTGGGCGGGCGGGCGGGCGGGCACAGGCGAGAAGGGCAGGGTGGCACCCAGCCTCAGAGGAAGTGAAAGGGGAGCGGCCCTGTCTTCCCCGTTCACATGCACCGGCACGCAAACAGCATCTCCTGGCTTCGTTTCCCTTGTTGCTGCTTGCAAGTGGGCACAGACAGACACACGTTCCCTTGGCAGGAGGAAAGGGGCGACTCCTGCTTTGTGCCGCAAAAGCCCTGCCCCGGCTCATCCTAGGCAGCTGCTGAGACACCCTCCACTTCCCCTGTGCCCCAGGTAAAAGGAAATGCTTTCACTGAAAGGGGCTTCTAAGCAGGAAACAAACTCCTTGGTTTGCTTTGTGGCTGGGCACAGTGAGTTCACTTGGAAGAAAGACCCACTGGTTAGTTAGGGTTACTCTGATGTAAGTGCATGCTTTTTTGGCGGGGGGGGGGGGGGGCTGGCTCTGAACACGAGCAGCTGTGAAATACAGAAAATGACTCTGAAATCAGACTGGGAGAGACCCTGGGTGGGGGCATGGCTGTGATTACTGCGCTGCCCAGGGTGTGTAAGGTAGACAAATTGCTGCTATTAAAAACTTATTTTTAAAAAAATCACTGGCTTTGCCGTATTTCTGTTTATTGGATATGTTGTTCTGACAACTCCAGGATGAATAATAAATTTTACTATCATAATTGTAGTGATAGTTGTAACAAATATGCTGGGCGGGCCCGGTCCTGAATCCTGGGGCCTCGAGTCATTAGAACAGTAGAGCTGGAAGGGCCAAAAGGCCATCGAGTCCAACCTGCAGGACTCCCACTTAAACCATCCCTCTCAAATGGCCGTCCAGCTACATCCTGAATGCCTCCAGTGTAGGAAAGCTGACAACCTCCCTGGGTCATGAGTTCCACTGCCATACTGTTCCAACAGTCAGGATTTTTTTCCCCTGATACCCAACTGGAATTGGGCTTCCTGCAACTTGAGCCAGTTCTTTTGTGTCCCGCCCTCTGGAAGAATAGAGATCCTGGCCTTCCTCTTTGGGACAGCCTTTGAAGGACTTGAAGAGTGCTATCAAATGCCCACTCTGTCTTCTTGAGGGTAAACATGCCCATTTCTTTCAATCTCTCCTTAAAGGGCTGGGTTTCCAGTCCAGCCCTTTCCAGCTTGTCTGCATTGTTCTTAAACTAGGGCCCAGAACTGGACACAGATGAGGCCTAACCAGTGTTGAGTAAACGAGTATTTTGCATGATTCGGAAGTAGTACTTCTATTAATGAGGCCTAAGGTAGCATTCACCCCTCCAGCAGCCGCATCCCATTGTGTGAGCTGCAACTCCACGATCCTTCTCACTTCCAGTGTTGTTGAGCCACGTATTCCCCATCTTGCAACAATCCATTTGGTTTCCTTTTTTCCTAGCAGCAGAACTTCAATTAAACATTATTGCTTTTCATTCTGTTTTCAGCCGAGCACTCCAACCTATCAAGATCGCCTTGAATCTTCTAGGGTATTAGCTATCCCATCCAGTTTTGTGTCATCTGCAAATCTGATAAGCATTCCCTGCACTTCCTCATCCAAGTCAGTGAAAATGCTGAAGAGCCCCGAGCCCAGAACAGAACCCTGCAACACCCCCCTTTTTGCCTCTCCCGTTCGAGAAGGTGCCACTGATGAGCACTCGACGAGTCCAATTCTGCAGCCAGCTCGGAATCCAACAGACAGTCGTTCCATCTAGCTCAATCTCTGCTAGTTTGCTAAGGAGGATATCATGGGGCACTCGGTTAAAAGCTTTTCTA